TTTAGTTTAATAAAATGAGAGTCCAGAATGATATGAAACTGTTTTTTTTTTTTTGGTTTTTTTTAGGGGTAGGTCCCTGAATAGTTTTCAATTATAAAATGTGTGGGTGTTTATCAGAAATAATAAGTAATCAGAAATAGAGGAAGACACAATTTCACAAACACCCAACAGCATACTTTTCCTTTATGTCGCGACATACAGAAAAAAATTCCAACACGTCGGTAGCGGCCTGTTGGTATGTCTGTGTTGGTAAATCAGTATAAAATTATTAGCGAAAAAAATTGAAAAATGATTGCCTGCTGCTGACAGATAGCAATTACTACAAAAGTTTTTTGTTATAAGTTGTAATAATTAAGATTGGAAGGGTTTTGTAAGTGGATTTTTTTGGCGATACTATACTTTAAGGTGAAACGAAAAAACACTTTTTTTTAGCGGACACCTTTTTAGTAACGTTCGAAAGATGCCTTTTTATATAAAAGGACACTGTTTTCCGTTGCTCTATAATAATATCTTTTGGTTTCGCAAGAATGTTACAATTTAGAAGTTTTTTGTTTTATTTTATCTTTTAATATCAATCTGGGCCTGTCGAAGACTGTTGACAATCAGTAGATGGCCTGACCAGAGTAGCAAACTGACATGTCAGGCGTTTGGAAGAATAGTTCCCAGCAGTACCTCTTCCCTGGATTGAATCATTTACAATGGTTTGTTAAGGAAGGAGGTCTCTCATCCAGCGCCTTTTTAGTGTCCTCCTCGTATTAATGGGAACACCAGGTGAAGACATATCCTTGATTAGTATGTTAGTATGTCCGTGTAAATTACTATAAAATCGTTTGTCAAGAGTGCTTATTTGTTGGTCAACTGTAGGCAGGAGGAATTCGGTATGTGAGATTTTGTTTGCCACGTAACAATGTGCCTTAGTTAGAAATTATAATATTTTTTATTGGAAAGTTAGACGTTTGTGTAAGTAGGTCTTTTTAGATATACCGTATATTTGTGAGGAGTAGGTCCATATTGGTTTATGTAAGTATAGGTTTATATTTAGTATCTGTTTCAGTTCTAGTTTTAACGATTTGGAAAAAAGTGAGTAAAGTATTATGAATCGTCTATTGAGGTCTTCCGTTTCATTTTGACGAGTGGGCTCCATGTCATCCTTCTGTCAAAGGTAAGACCGAGGTAATGTACGGTGTCCGTCTGAGGAATTTGGTTGTTTTAGATATAAATTGGAGATCAGGTATTTCTTCGAAGTTTAAATGTAATGTGTTTCGATTTATCGTGGTTTAGTCGAATTTCCCATAATTTGTGCCAGGCTTATAATTTTTCTAAATGATGTGAAGGGTTTTGTAAGAATTGCTGTGTCACCAGCATAAGTAGCCGTCAATGTCTCATTGTTAATAGGAATATCGTATTAATTTTTCAAATATTGTGGAATAAATTGTAATAAGGCTAATTGGTCTCTGGGATGAGAGATTATGTATGTATTTGTCTGTTTTGTGTATTATTTTAATGAGTGAGTATTTCCATTGTAATGGAAATTTTTATGTTCTCAATATACAGTTGTATATTATTAATTTAATTTAATTACTTATTTATTATTAATCGTTGTCAGAAATAATATACTTTCCTGGGCATCTAGGAGAGTGGTTCGGCTGTTATTAAGTAATAACCAGGGGCTCTTCTTTTAGATAAATGCTTAATTTGAAGTGCGACTTGACCTGTCGTGATGTATGGCGAAGGAGGTCGTGATGTATGTTGCAGAGGAACACTAGCGGATCCAGAATTTAATTTTGGGGGGCTTCAGCCCGAAAGAGTTTTTTTTTCATATACATATAATGATAATTATTTAAAAAAAAAAAAGAAAGAAATTAACTACCTATATGAAATGGTGTTTAAGTGGTTCTTGAAGTCCTATTAAATGTAATTAAACGAACAAGAATACTTTAAGAGGTTGTTTTTAATATTTTTTTCTGTATATTTTACCATTTGGGGGGGGGGGTTTCAGCCCGAAAATCTCCCTCCCCCCCGTAGATCCGCCCGTGCAGAGGAATATTAAGAGGAAGTGTTAAATATCAAGGTATCTTGGTCAATGTTTGTGAAATTAGTAAATGGTTAAAATACAGAAGAAAGATGATTAGGGAAGAGTTCAGATGTTTCCTCATCCGATAAGGCCCAAGAACCATCTTCGCTTCGAAGGAATGCTGACACCTCTCGATGTTTTAGCAGCTTCCTGGTATGATCCAACAAGCTTCCAGTCAACTGTTGGAATGTGGAGGTCAGTATGTAGAGTTTTGTTAGTCACGTACCAATATGATTTTGTTATGAGTCGCAATAATTTTGATTGAAAGGTTTGTAGGTTAATCTTTTTAGCGATCCCGTATATTTTTGATAAGTACGTCCATATGTGTTTAAGTAATTGTGTATATGTTTTCAGTTTTTCTCTCAGTTTTAGTTTTGAAGATTTAGCAAAAAAGAGAGTAAAGTAGCTGTAGTCGTATGCTGAGTTTCTTACGTTTCATTTCAACATGCGGGCTCCATGTTATCCTTCTATCGAAGGTGAGTCCAAGGTAAAATACCTTGTCCGTTTGAGGAATTAATTTGATTGTGGTCAATATAAATTAGAGAGCAGGTATTTCTTCAAAGTACAAATGTAATGTGTGAAATTGGGGTGGGGCATCATTTTCAGCTGAAGGTGGCCGTTGGGTAGTTTCCCGCCTCATACCTGAACATGATCTTTCGTTGTGAGCAGATGCAATAGCGTTACCTATTCTTGTCATCTGTTTTATTGCTAGTCGTCTCTGTTACTGAGTTGGAATAGTCTCCTGTGAAGCATTTTTTTGTATTGAATCTGTTCGCAAGGGCTGCTGATGAGTGGGGAATTCTTCGAAATTTGGAGGTGAAGGGGAGGTGGGGATGGGGGGATTCTTCTATGCGCCCTCTTAGTGTTGCCCACAATCGGTCTTGGTCTTGCACTTTGCATGACCAAGACCAAGGCCTCCTAACTGTTGCAAGACCAAGACCAGGATTGGTAAAAAAATCGATGTTTTAATAAAAAATTAAGGAAAAATAGTTACTAATATTCGACAATCTTAGTTACTATATGTAAATAATTGGTATATCCAATATAGTTTTGCATTTAATTCCTCTAATTTCTCATTCAGGCTTACTTAGGTTCCTCCTATCTACAAAATACAGTACTGTAAGACTGTTGCGAGACTCTTGTGCAAGACCAAGACCATGACAAAACTGAGTTTGCAAGACCAAGACTCGTCTGGGTCTCGCATTTGGGCAACACTACGCCCTCTGATCCTTCAGGACCTGGCATCCTCGGTAGTTGGCCGGGTGTTCTCCAAGGCAGTTTGCCTTTGTCTCCCTGATATTTAAACAGGATACACTTTCGTGGTCTTGGCTACATTCAAAATACAGTGAAAAATGGTTATAATATGATTGTTGGCATCTTATGCACTGAGGTATATTTATTTTTTTTCTAGGCTCCTCGAAACTATTTTCGCATAGTAAGCTGTAGCTTTGTTATGTCTTTTAAAAACATGGGCAAAGGTTTTTAAATCGAGAGAAGACATTAGTGATATTTGTTGCAATATATCCATGTTTTTCTAAATCATTTTTGATTTCGGAGATTGAGACCTACTGTAAATTTTTGCACTACAGCTGATACGTGTGGAATTCAGCACCTCCATTTCTAAGACTGCTTACTAGTTTACGATATACGTCTGGTGTTTCGGATAAACTGTTACACCTTTGATAGTAGTTTTTAGAAAGAATGAATTTAGAGCATTATTTCATTCTTTCTTCTGCATTGTTTTCCAGGAATAGGACTAATGCCTGGTAATTTTGAACGACGTACATGTGTATTGGTGGTGGTTTTCGTTAGTTTTTTCATTTGCTTTATTTACTGAGCATTCTTAATTTTCTGTTATGGTAGTAAGTACATCATAAGTATTACTTACAGGTATTGACGTTGCATTTTCTGTTTCTGTTTTTTTGTGTTTCCTTGGATCCCTGGATTCAGTAGGAAGATCTCTTTTTTTCCGTAATTAAAGCCCAGGCATCACCACAATTTGCTTCAATTAAGTCCATCCTTTCCTCCCTTACCTCAACATTTGACGTTGGGACGGGATCCATTTTTTCGGTGGATTTCACTTTCAATCACTTATATTCACTTTCACACCGACTTCCTTCAACATCGCAAAATAAAATTTTACGTTTTTACTTGATAATTCAAATTACGTTTTTAATTAAAATGATTTGTGTTTATAGGTTTATAGGTTTTTTTTTTTATTATTTCTGTTTAAAGGTTTATAGGTTTTGTTTTAGTTTTTGTGTTTATATAAATACATCATTTCCCCAGTTACCTCAACATTTGACGTTAAGGTGAGGGTCCATTTTTTCGGGGGATATCACCTTCAACTACTAATGTTCACTTTTCCACCGACTTCCTTCAACTTCGCAAAGGAAATTTTTACGTTTTTACTAGAAAATTCAAATAACCTTTTTAATTAAAAATATTTGTGTGTATATATTTTTAGTAACATATGGTACTTTTAAAATCTAAGAGTAAATTTTTCCAGAAATATCATTTATTATCAAATTATTAAAAATAGAAAAACAAATTATTTTCACAAAGTGGAGGAGATTTGTTAAACTTATAGTTATTTAAATTTATAGTTGTAACTTATAATTGAAGACAAATTTAAAGCCAATAAGAATAATCTAACATATTTGTATTGCTATTTAAGCGTTTTTATCACATGATTTAGTTTTCCTTAAATTATTTTTTATTTATCATCATCTTGCAATTTATTTCTCCATTTTTTAGTGGCTTTAAATTTTAGATATTTAATTGCAGGCTGTACATTTGTTTATCAATAACATGAGGATGTATTTTTTAGAGTATTACAATATTCAATGACCACTAAATTAAGAAATGGATTTTTTTTTGTTGCTTATTCACATTCTTATTTTTTCAGATAATGCAGTTTACTTACTCCACTGCCACTTTGATGTTGAGATTGACGGAATAATTTGTCTCTGTTGAGTCAGCTTCTCTTATTTTTCTATTATTTAAATAACTCATAAATTTAGTTTGGAATGTCCTAGATTAATATTTCAATAAATAAATGAATATTAATTAAAATAAATAAACACTTCATCAACTTCATGAAAATTATCTACTTTATTTTTGTAAACACCTAATAATTTTTCTGAAATGAATTGAAAAAAAGCTGTTAAACTCGGTCCATACTATTTAACATAATTTGTGATAAAAGGATAATTTTTTTTTTTTTAGAACTTTTTTCTATTATATAACTCGTGTGGTATCTGGTGATTGTTTGTGAGATGCAAGAGATATACACAACTCTAACACTTTAAAATTCTCATTCAAGGGATTTAATTCAAAAAATGGTTTTCATGGATTTTAGGTTTGTGATTTATTTTCTTCCGGATTATAAAATATTTAGAGCTGCTAGTTTCCTGTCTATATTGTATTATGGACTTTACTTTTAGTAAATATTAATGAATTAATTGTTTTTAATAGTGTTGTTACTTAGCAACCAAAACAACAAGCTGTTCATTCTTGATTATGGTGTACTTATGTAAAGATTGGAAAATAAATGTGTTATTTGAGTTATGATATTTCTGTAATGGATCATATTGGCGATGAAATATTCCTATGCATCATTGGAAAAAGTTATGCATCATTAGATCGATAAATAATTAAATTACTAATTATCAGTCAATATCATAGTTATGGCTTCAGTTTATGTGGGTCATTTGCGTGAATTTACGCTTAATAATGACTTGTCTATCTTCAAAGGAAGAGTGTACAATTATTTTACAATTAATTCTCTGAAAAGCGAGAAGACCAAGATGGCGTTACTTTGCAATTCATGCGACGAGGAAGCGTACAATCTGATATTGAGTTTGTGTGAACCGAAGAAGCCCGATGACTTACCATATTCTAAGTTAATTTCGAAGCTGGATAAAGATTTTTTAATGTCGGATGCAGGATTTAGTGCTCGATTCCGATTTTATAATGGTTAAAGAGAAAATAAACAGACTATTCAAGATTGGTTTTCTAGGGTTCAAATTTTGGCTAGTCGTTGCTATTTTCAAGATCCATAGTTCAAAATTATGATAAGAGATACATTTATTGTGGGTATGAACAGATTTATAATAATGGATAGACTCTTTGAAGAAGACGTAACTTCTCTAAGCATTGAGAAGTCATTAGAAATAGCTTTGAACAAAGAGGCTACCTCCCATTTGTAAGATCCCGCAGAGGGTTAGATCACATGAAAATGAACTTAGAAATAGTAGCCATACATCTTGTGATTGCTGTGGTTATAGGAATAAAAAAAAGGAGGAATTGTAAATTTATGTTTGTTTTAAGTGTGGTGGACGAGGCATCCCAAAAGAGTAGGTGCTAGGAAAAGCGAAGCACCGAAGAGCCTGGAAAACGCATTTAATAAAGGAAGAAAATGCGATCGACAACGAGGAAGAAGGTAGTAATTTTGTTATAGATACGATATCAAGAAATACCCGCTGGTCAGTCAATGGAGGAGGAGCGAAGAAATAATGACCTGCTATTCAATATTTCTGGAGTTAAGAAAATTTCTACTTTCGATATCCAATTGTCAATAGATGGAGAATCAGTGGTATTTTCCGTTAACACGAGACGAGCTATTCTTAAACGTTGATGCTCCTTGTGCAATATACCAAAATTTGATACTATCATTAACTTCAAAAGAGAACGATATATAAATATTTTTAATGGATTATCGCAACTTACATGGTACAACGGGCAAATCACCATCTGAGAGATTTGAAAACAATTACGAACACGGCTAGATTTCTTTAGCCCTAACCCAGTGAGTAAGACCATTCACAGAAACCAAAGAAAACAAAATGAGTATGCCCGAGGTACAAAAGAGGTGAAGTTTAGTTTGAATGGGAAGGTATGGGTGATGGATTTTAGATGTCCCATAAGATCCTAGAAGAAAGGAATCATTCAAGAAATACTTGTATCTAGGCGATTTCGTGTGTTTCTTCAAGAATTGGATGGTTACTAGATCAGGCACGCAAATCAACTTCGAGGGAGAAATGATGAGATAATTACTACCAACATTTCAAACAATGGACAGACGACATCGGATGCCTCTGTTGCTCAGCAACCACTAGATAATAATCCGGACCCATACAAGTCACCTCGGGCCTGTTATGGGCCGTCGTCCACCCTAACGTCTTATGAAGAAATTTGAATTATATTCTTTTTTTTTAAGGAGGAAAGTAGTAATGTATTATCGAATTTGCTTTTAGTAAATACTAATCGATTATCTTCTTATAATGATGTTGTTACTTGGTAACCAAAACAACAAGCTGTTCATTCTTTATTATGGTGTACTTATGTAAAGATTGGAAAATAAATATGTTATTTGATTTATGATATTTCTGTAATACGTTATGCTGTCTTTACTTCGGCTCATTCATATTTGACATTAGAGTTGAAGTCGAATACGTGAACTGCAGGATCTGAAAAATATTTAAGAAAAATATATTGTATTGTACATTAATATTTTAATTTGGTTAAAATAATAATGGTATAAATTGAAAAATAAAAACAACTAAGCCATGAATCTCCAACATACAAGTTAATAGTCAACTTGCTAACGTTTCGGCAATCCTGGCATCATCAGGGCAGGAAAACCAAGATCATATAAATGCAGAAAGAAAGAAAAAAAATACAGTATACATTTTACGAAGCAATTCAAAAAATACTGAAGGATAGAGAAGGTTCTATCAACAGCATCTAAGGAAGGTTATATTGAACAGCTGATCAACCTTTAAACAAGAGGAAAAGTAGCTTTAACTGGAATATAATAATACAAAACGTGTTAAATTAAATAAAACTATAACATAAAATAAAATTTTAAAAAAGTCTGATTACGTCTTATCGGCTGTTCAATATAACATTCTTTAGCTGCGGTTTATTTAACGTTCATCAGTTTGTATTTGGATGGCTTCGTGAAATGTCTTCAGCAATTTTTTCATTTTTTTTTTTTTTTTTTTATGTTGGGACTTAGTTGCTTGGATTTTTCGGCCTTATGTCTTTGTTCTAGCTAATATTGCTTACCTAGCTTAATATATAAATGCTTATTTTAGTAAAACAATAATGTTTTGATCAGGACATAAATATAAAATTTCAAACATTAAAACCTTGAGTCTTTAACGTAAAGATAAAATGTTAATCTGTCAATTATCAGAACAGAAAAGACAAGATAATAAATAGCATTTCGAAGTCAATAACAACTTTTTTCAAGTTAAATTCATCTTTTTCTAAATCAAATTTGACTTTTTCCACTTCACATTCAATTGTATTTTGTATTTTTTAATTTTCCAATTTTAGGGTTAAAATAAACTTATATTAAACTTTCGAATTCATTGGATGTATATTATATTTTACCGTTGGTACTTTTATTTAAGGATAAATACACACACCGACATACATACATTTGACTTAATTCTATTTATTATCAAATTTTCATTTCTTAAATAATTAAATATTAATTAATTCTAACACTAAGTTTACCGAAATCGTACAGGGGCCACAACTACGTCACAGAGGCCACATGTGGCCTCCGAGGCCATGGGTCATCATATATGTCCAAGACGCTTTAAATGTTCATAATTTCAAATAAAGAAAAATAGTAATATGAATTGTTGAATTAAACTATAGAAAAAATATATTTTTATTCCTAATTTGTTAAATATTTTACTTTCATGACTCTTATATCGAACTAGCAATACTTTTTTTTCATTTCGAAAAATATATACCTCTACATGTTTTATATATATACAACGGAATTAAAAATTCCAATTGCGATCCAGTTGGGCTGGTGTTCCTCAAGGTACAGTTTGAAACTCTTAAATACGAATTTTTTATATAAATCAAAAATTTCATTAATACTTGATTTTGATAAGCCTACTTCCGATCCTTCCCAAAATATTTGAGAAAATCCTTCTCAAACGCATCCTACCCATACTCGAATCCCACAGTATCCCTCCCCATCAGTTCCGCTCAAGACACTCCACTGTCCAACAAAGCCTTCGCGTTGTGGACCACATATCCTCTGCACTTGAAAACAAGCAATATTACACTGGTGCCTTTCTAGACGTAGCTCAAGCTTTCGACCGGGTGTGGCACGATGGCTTGCTTTTCAAGCTCAAAACCCATTTACCTCAACCCTTGTACCTAGTCCTCAAATCCTACCTTTCAAATCTCTCCTTTCAAGTCCGCTGCGGCACTGAACTCTCCAAACATTATCCAATTTAGGCTGGTGTTCCACAAGGCAGTGTCTTGGGCCCAGTTCTCTACATCCTTTTCACCGCTGGCATCCCTTCAAGTCCTGATACCTTCCTAGCAACATTTGCTGATGATACTGCCATCCTATCCTCTCACTCGGATCCTCTAATAGCGTATCCGAACCTGCAAAGACACCTTTCCTTCATTGAGCAGTGGTGCAACAACTGGCGCATCAAAATTAATGAATCAAAATGCAAGCATGTAACTTTCACTCTTCGACGCAGATCCTGTCCGCCAATCCTTTTTAATTCAATTCCTCTTCCCTACTCAGACACAGTCCGATACATTGGCTTCCTTTTGGACAAAAGACTGACTTGGAACCCACATACCAGACTTAAAAGACAAGAGCTTGACCGACGATTTGGTCAGCTATATAGACTACTAAACAGAACATCTCATCTCTCAACAGAAAACAAATTATTAATCGACAAGACCATACTGAAACCTATCTGGACCTACGGACTTGAACTGTGGGGGACAACTAAATCATCGAATATCAAACGCATCCAATCCTTCCAGTCCAAAGTCCTTCGAACAATAGCCAATGCTCCATATTATGTCACGAACAAGACCCTACACCATGACCTTAACATCCCATATGTCCATGACATTATCCCATCCAGATTCTCTAACTTTCACCAGAACCTCATTCATCATCCCAATCCTCTAGCGCAATCCCTATCCAGCTCCGAACATCCATACCATCCCCCTCGAAGGTTGAAACGGCAGTGGCCTCGAGATCTTTTGTAAATATGCCTTTGGAGTCCTGGCAATGGCCAGCTTCTCCACTCATGTCCTGAGCGTCTGTGGCTCTAGTGCCCTCTTTCAGTCTCCATTGGCTTCTAATACTAGTGGTGCGGCTGGAAAAGTGGCGCTGCGATCTTCCGGAGTCTTGCTTTGCCTTCCACGTGTGGGGAAAAAGCCTGGCTCGGAGATTCTTGGGCGAATGCATATATTGTATATAGATATGATTGTGTTTAGAAGTTTTTATTTTATTTTATTTGTTTATTTCATTTTTTTTTTTATTTAACTTCTTCACTAGTATTATTTATTTACTTCTTATATTTATATTTATTTCTTTATTATTTGTATATATTGTATGAATGAGAACTTTTAGCCCTAATGCTTATAGCCCTCCAGCAGTGGCTGATTGTATTATTATTAAAAAAAAACAAAAAAAAACTTGATTTTGGTTGGTTTTCTTTTAATTTCTGTATCACTCGTCCTAAATCTGTAAAAATGTTGGTGAGAACCTCACTAAAGAAATATGTACTTCCACAGTGCTACGTCGGTTGACCCGAATTATAGTTATCTTCAGACATACAATATACAATATTAAGTCAAAACCTGTCTGGTATTGAGATATTTTTTTTATGGAATAACAAAGTAAATATAAAAATATAAATGACTGACTTGAAGTCCATGTAGGACCGTATTGTCCAGCAGTAAGTAAGTACAAAATTAATATTATTTTATAGCAGCTCAAAACACCCTCAAATACGAATTTGTATATCATTCGAAAAATAAAATGTTCTGTATGAAATTTTTGGCCTTGGACCCTTATACATTTTTTTAGAAAACAACCAAAAAATATGATAATTTTAAAACTGCTACAACGATCCAAACCAAAACTTTTATGAATTTAGAACTCTAATGCTACATGAAATGATACAAAACTGACCTCTGTAAACTAATTAGAACCAGAAATATAAAATAACAATTATGGGAACTTTTTTTAGTTTCTTGTTTTAAAAGGGATGAAATCTTAAATATATCGATGTGGGTTGGAAATACAGTAATTCTCCTTTAAGTAATTCGGGGTTCGATCCTATGATCTTTACTTTACTTGTATAGAGCGCTAACCACTCTGCTATACCGGCTCCATCAAGTATTAAATTTCGCAATTATGATTTCTATTAAACTTCGTATTTAAGAGTTTCAAAGGACACGAAACACGAGTCTAACTTTTTTTTTTACCAAAAATTTACTTGGTATACTTCGCTGTAACGGCCTTAATTTATAATAATTTACAACTCATTTAATATAATATCTCTTTTCTTATTTTGCATAAAAAATGAAATCGATGATATATATATCCTGAAAATCCGGGAAAAGCGAAGGCACAAATAAATAACACAAATTTTGTTTGAAATTGTATAAAATATTTATTTTCGGCTCCCAGAATACATTGAAAAGAACGCCGATTTGTAAATGTCCAATATTTTTAGATGTAGTATCACTATGAAAAAATTAGTTGATATCGGAGAACCAGTGATTGTAACCTTCCTTTGTTAGTATATATTATATTATATACTTATATAATATTATATATTTGTATTATTTACTTATTTTCGGATAAAGCCAATAAAATTATTAGGAAGATTTACTTGGAAAACGTTTTTAAATCTTTACTTTATAACATAAATTATTTTTATTTTTTAGAGATTACATTTTATTAACCTAGGACTCCACCTGGACAAACGACTAACTTGGAATCCTCATACTAGACTGAAACGACAAGAAACCGCTCGACGTTTCCGATTACTTCAGCACTTACTAGACAAACGCTCTAAACTTCCCATTAATTACAAAAGACTTATATACTTGACTATAATAAGACCTATTTGGACTTACGGAGTTGAGCTATGGGGCTCCACTAAACCATCGAATTCCTCTCGCATCCAATCCTTACAATCAAAAATCCTTCGTAAAATCCTCAATGCTCCTTACTTTGTCACTAATAAAATTATCTATAAAGATCTTAATGTTCCTTATGTTTCAGATCTGGCCCAATCTAGATACATATCCTTCCATTATATATTTCAGAATCATCCTAACCCTCTCGTTTCTAACCTTGCTTCGTCTTCAATTCCTGATAACCCTCCGAGGCGTCTGAAAAGAGTATCGCCCTTGAACTCCTAATGTAGACATATCATTAGAGAGCTACTATTGAGTAGTTACTCAACTAGTGTTTCCACGACATTATATCCATATTTTCAAATTTACTAAAGGTATTTCTTTAATATAGTTGTAAGTATCAGTAAGAAAAAAAAATGTATTAATACTATTTATGTAATTGAATCGTTCTTACTGTCGTAAAAAATACAGAAACCATTTATTAGATGTTATTTAACCTTTTATTTTATTATTATTATGCACTCACTGTCATCAACGTTTCCCGATTCACAGGGTACATTCTTATAGCGGTGAGTCCAACTCCTTTTCTCGCTCCGATCATCATTAACTGCAGAGCCTGTCTCATAGGGATACTTGCCTTGTACCATTCACTATTGTATATAGCAAACTGCAGGTCTGAACTCTGAGAAAATAAAACTTTAAAAAAACATATATATTGAACTAAAATATTTTTAAAAAATATTTTAATAATTCTTTACATTTTCTATTATTTTTTTTACTGACCGCTGTCTGAATGAATGAAGAGGCGAAACAGAACAAGCCCATTTCAACTCCTTGAAACAAGAATACTTTAATCATTTGAAAGATGACAATAGGACTTCTTGTATTTAACTTGAAAAAATAATAGATAATAAGTAAATAATAAGTTAAAATTTAAATTTAAACATTTCAATTCAACTTACCAATAAAAATTGCATCGCACCTATAATCAATACTAATATCCCTATACCTAGAGTAAGTGTTACCAATGGGTTGTACACACTCCTCAATTCCTTTGAATATCTGTAAAAAAATATATAAATTTAATAATATATATAAATAATATATAAACAACCTTATCTTGATAATAATAATAATAATACTTTATTTATTTTGGAATGAGTTCCTTTAATATAATACAAAAATATAGAAATGTGGGCTAAGGAGCCTCAGAGATACATACACAATAATGACCAAGTAAATAAGCAGCTATAATAAAAAAGCATCAGTTACTTTCTGGCTTATTCGATGAATAAAAAAAAATAAAATAAAATTATAAAACATAAAGAGAGCGGAAGCCAGAGGAATCCGATGCAATATTTTTTTTTTAAAACCAACCTAATTTTTAAAAACAGCATAGTGGAAATTTCAGAAATTAATTTTATATTTTAATAATGTCGATATCTAAATCGAATAACTAATAAATTTATGTTGTACAAATATTGTAAACTAAAAATCAAATGTTTTACATCTCGTTAAAATCGTATCAATCTCATTGAAGTGTTGATATCGATGATTGTTGGAACTTCTGATAGAAATGAGAGGAAAAATTAAGTATATAAGCAAATAAAAATAAAATAGTAAGTTTTTGTATTACTAATTTAAGAATTATTCTTTTAGAATGCACTTTTATTCTCTCTGATTCGAACATTTAATCAATTCTCGATGCTATTTAAGTTCTAATGTTTTAATTACAATTTTTTTTTTAGTAGGAGATTTCATTATTGAGGTATATTACAATCTGTCACATTTAAGAACAATACAATAGAGATAAATAGTAGATCATTCCTACTAATAACTATTATGATAATTGAAAAAAATTAATATTTATTTAACTTTTAATTCACTTATCTTTAGGTTATTTTATTTTTTATTGTACATAGTTGTTTGATTATTATTCAGTTATTATATTATTTTTGCTAATTTTATGTTTTCTGTATATATAGTGTGAATGTGTTTATTGTCCCTCTAATTATTGTCCACGTGACAGATTATTATATTTCTAAATAAATAAAATATTTTTTTTTAATATTAGTTTTAGAAATATAATTAAATTGTAAAATATATCTGTTCGTATTCATCTATGATGATTAGAGTTCCCTTTGAAAATAAAGAACACAGATGCAAATAAAAAAAAAAACTAAAAAAACAGGACTAATTTACCACCTTAATAGATTTTGATGGTCTTGAAGTATCCTGCGAAATTCATCAGATATTTTTTCATCTTCATTGGGATGCGTTGTATCATCCTTTGAATTGAAATCCAAGGTTTCTACATGATAACCAAGTGCGATGAACTGAGCATACAGACAGACCAAAACTTGAAAAAACAAACAAAATAACACGGTAAGGAGAACCATAGCCCAAGCAACACACGTGGCTTCATAAAGAAAGATAAGTTCAAAATAAGGAGATTCAGCCATCGGAAATGGATACCATCCACCTAAAATCTTTTTCCTTCCCGTAGTCACTGCGTACATGTTTCCTGTGTGCTTGAGTATGTAATCCACTGATATACCGGGATAGGCAAGAAATAAAATTAGGATGATAATATTCAATACGATATAAACCGAACAAACCAAATTGGAAGTTCTACTGATGCGGTTGTATAATTGAGAAAGTTTTTCTTGTTTTTTTTCTGGGATGGCTAAGAAATTTTTCTTTAATAGATCTACAAGTCCGCTCTGACTTCTTATTCGGATCCAGAAGACAAGAATTCTACAACACAATTGCACAGCACCCAAAATATTTAGATTCAAAAAAGTAGCCTTCTGTATATCGACTTTGATATAAAAGTAACTGAAGCATTGAAACACGGCGTACGGTATTGCGAGTATAAACGAAATAAATACTGAGAATTTGATGGTGGAGTTCCTCTTCCCTGTCGTTCTGTAATCGTTGATGACCTGCCAAAGGCCGCAGAATTTGAGATATCTCACGTCAAGACCGATGATATCTGACTCTTCGATGGCTTCTTGGTAGCTCATAGCTTCTTCACTTCCTCGACTGAAGTAACAGACACACAGCTGCGTTCTGGTACCTTATAAACCAGACAATCCGTTATTAATGTTCCGATAATTTTCCGTAAATGGAAGTGTACATAATTGACGATAAATGAGGAACTGTAGGAGGAACAGCGATGAATTAATTCTCATTCCATCAAACCTTTTTCATATCCCATGGGAGAAGAGTACCTTCGTTTCCTGAGTTGATTATTACGCCATACAGTTCATTGAAATAATAAACAATATTAAATTATGCATAAATACGAACTTATTCATATATTCTTTGAAATAAACTCATCGCTTAAATAAAACATCACATGTTATGACAACTTATAATAATTACGTCGTCCTATTTATTGAAGTGAAAACTTCTGTAGGCGGGTTTTGCAATTTTTTTAAGAGATCAGATCTCCCATGTGTCATGCTCAGGTAAAGTCGCCTAAAGATGACTAATAGACGTGTTTTTGCATAAGGATTACAAGATTTCAGATGCAAAAAAAATCAGACCTTCATATTGTGAGCAAGGGCCATTATTCAGCAGTTCGTTCTCACAGTAACAAGCTATTATTTAAAATGTTATCTTAACGCAACGCCGTTTTAGGGAAGCGGGAAGAAAAAAACAGTGTCTTAAACCAAATTATAAAGAATTTTTAGAAAGAAATAAACTAACATATCCCAAAAACTAAAAATCGGACCTAAAAACTATAATTGTTCAGCAGTTCGTCCTATTTATAATGAGGTATTACTTTTAATTTATATTTCATTTTACTAATCTCGCCTTGTTGATGTTTTTACTTCTATCGTGTGGTCTGAAGCACAGACTTTTTGTTGTTTTTTTTTAATAAATTCCTGAGTTTGTTCCGTTATTTCATAATTTCATAACTTTGTTAGCACTATTTTATATGGCCTTACATTGCTACCTGTAATTTCTATAAGTCCGTGTTTTTTCATTATTACTTCATACTTCCTTAATGTTTATATCATGTTTTTCTCTCTATTTTTATATATCGTTTATCAATATTTATATTATATGTTATCTTTTCTTTACTTAACTCTTTACTTACTAAAACTTAGGCCGAATTGTCTGCACAAAGAAAAAAAAATTAATATAATTGATTTATTTTCAGTTTTTTCTTAGCATTGACCTAACACCCCAATCAATCTCTCTCCAAATATCTTCTATAGTCAACTATTATCCATCATCATTTTAAAACTGATTACAATATTTTCCATCTTGATAATCTTGTGCCAAACTATATATATATTTATACAAACAAAATAACAAGAACAGCGAAAAGAGAATTACTCAAAGACAGATTACAAACTATTGAGAAAAATTGGCAGGCTGGAAATATATGCGAATCCTTCACAGATATCAGAAAAGAAAGGGCAGGGTATAAAGCGAGAAATACACAAATGCGAGGGAAAGATGGCAAATTGACGGCATCAAAAGAAAAGATCCTAAGCATCTGGAAGGAACACTTCCAGCAGCTGCTGAACCAAGGGCACCCCACAAACGAAGAAGACATGGACCACTCTGAGGACATCGACCCACTTGAGGTTGAAAAACCAGATATTCTGGATTTGGAAATAGCTATCGGTAGGCTTAAAAGAAGAAAGGCTCCAGGGATGGTCAACCTACCATCAGAATTGTTCAAGGATGGAGGAGAAGAACTCAGAACCAAGCTGTTAGATCTAATCCAGAAGATATGGGAGAAGGAACGGATACCAGAAGCATTGGACACAGGGTTGATCTGTCTTATCCTTAAAAAAGGCTATATGAATGTGGCAATTACAGAGGCATGGCACTTCTTCCGGTCGCCTTTAAAATAATGACTAATATTCTGTTAAATCGGATATATCCGTATTATGAAAACATAATAGGCGACCATCAAACCAGATTCAGGAGAGGGAGGAGTACGCTAGATCAGATATTCATCCTGAAACAAGTACTTGAAAAACGATGGGAAGTAGATCAGGACGTAAACGCATTATTTGTCGACTTCAAATCAGCCTATGACTCCGTTGACAGAAACTATCTCGGGAATATCTTGACTCAGCTAGGTGTTCCCAGGAAATTAGTGAGGTTGACGAAGGCGTGTACAAATAATCCTAAATGCAGGGTACTAATACAAGGAGAAGTATCTGAAGCCTTTGAAGTTCGAACGGGTTTGAGGCAGAGAGATGGACTCTCGCCGATGCTGTTCAATTTAGCACTATAGAAAGTAATTAGAATAACATCACGCGAAGATGGAGGAGTGCACGTTGGAATGAAACATAAAATCCTAGCATATGCCGATGATATAGCTGTTCTCGGAAGTAATCAAGAGGATATTGAGAGACTCGCTCTTACTCTATTAAAAGAAGCAGAGCAAATCGGACTACAGGTCAATGTAGATAAAACAAAATAAATGATAGTTAGCCGAAACATCCATCCTAATAACATGATCTGCGTGGATTTTAAGTCATTAACGAAAGTAGACAGATGCAAATACCTCGGCTCCACAATAACCTCAATGAATGATCGATTAACAGAGATAGACTAGCGAATAACAAGTGCAAACAGATCTTTCTTCTCTCTTTCAAAGGTACTTAAATCCAAAAATATCTTCAGAAATCTCAAAATAAGGGTATGTTACGCCGTTATTAATCCAGTTCTGCTGTACGGTTGTGAAATCTGGGCTCTAACCGGCACATTAGAAGCCAGAATTGAGAGATTCGAAAGAAAAGTTTTTTGTAGGATAACAGGACTTATATGGGAATTCAGATCCCTTGTTACTCCTTTGATATCCCTTATCACCAATCGTATATCACATTTTATCTCTCCCCAAAAACTTCCAATACTTCCAATAAACCTATATCCATTCACCTTAGGAATGCGAATGGTGTTATGAATCATACAGACGAACTAACTGCATTATTACTTGACAAGAACATTGAGGTGCCAGTAATTACTGAAAGTCGACTAGCCACTTAACAGCTCTTCAAAATACCACAATAGCTGACATATTGTACTGACCTCCCTGAAGGAAAACCACATGCCGGTACTGCTGTCATTGTACACCAATCCCTGTCTCATCACTTACTCCCATTACCTACACACGATTTCCTACAGTCCACCGCTATCGTAATAAAAACCTTCTCCTTCCCGGTTATCCTTGCATCAGCGTGTTGCCCTCCTATCAGATCCATATCCAAAGTCCAGTTCAGTTCTCTCCTCGACTCCTTAGGACATCACTTCATCTTGGGTGCAGATTTAAATGCCAAGAACCATCAATGGGATTTCAGAACCACGAATTCTCATGGCCGAACCCTGATCTCCTAGAGTTCTGCCTTTCCTTCCACGAGGGGAGAGAAAGGCTGGGCACGGAGTTCTCCTGAGTGAAGGGATTATTTAAATATTGTATAGTATCCATGTGTTTTGATTAGTTTAGTTCTTTTTTTATATATATTTACTTGTAGTATTATCATTTATTTTTATTTATTGTAAATATTGTGCGAATGTGCTCTCTGAACACTATTATAAATTGTGACGGATTATAATATTTCAGAATAAATATAACAAAATAATTAGGTAATCTACTTTTAAAATCTAAAAGTAATTTTTTCCAGATATATCATTTATTATTAAAAACATAAAAAAGGAATTATTTTCACAAAGTGTAGATATGTTAAACTTAATGTTATTTAAATTTATACTTGTTACTTATAATTGATGAAAAACTTAAAGCCAATGAAAATAATCTACCATATTTTTGTTGATGTTCAAGGTTTCTTTTTTTACATGATTTTGTTGTTATCACATAAATTGTTTTGTATTTGTGATGATCTTACAATGCATTCCCTCAGTTTCCAGTGGCTTTAAATTTTAGATGTTTAAATGCAGGCTATTAATTTTTTTATCAATAACATGAGGATGTATTTTTGAGGGGATTACAATATTCGTTGACCACTAGATTAAAAAATTGAATTAGTATGTAGTTTACTTACTCCACTGCCACTTTGATGTTGAGGATGACAGAATAAATTTTCTCTATCAGCTTCTCTTATATTTTTATTATTTAAATAACTCATAAATTTTACTTTGGAATGGAATGGAATAAATTAATATTTCAATGAGTAAATGAACATTAATTAAAAGTAAAAAAAACATAATCAGCTTCATAGAAATTTTGTAATCACCTAATAATTCTTCCAGACTGCATTGAAAAATAAAAAACTGTTAAGCTGGGTCCACATTATTCAACAAAATTTGTTATAAAAGGTTTATACATATTTATTTATTTATTTTTAAAACTTATTTTCTATTATAAAATTAGTCGTGTGCTGTCTGTTGACTGTAAGACGAAAATGGTATACAAAACTCTATCATTTTTAAAATTCTCACTCTCTATTTTAGAATTTGTGAACGAAGCACCTATATTGGATATTTTTCGATTGATATTTATTGCCGAAAATTAAAGTTTTTAAGGAAG